TCCTGTTACTGCATGCGTTGTACACCTGAGGATGGCACATTAGTGCTGAAACATGTAGTGTGGAAGTGAAGAATAAGGTGAAAAAGTGTATACACTGTAAGACGGTTAGCATAAACCATGGACATGAATCAGTGTAACATGACATTAAAATATAATATTTTTATTTTATATTATTATTTATGTTAATTGATTAATGTAAGTTATTTTAATTATGTAAATCATGAAATTTAGTATATGTATCTGGACACATCTATTCTCAAAGGGACTATTTATTTTGTCTCTATAGATCATTGTTACATGATATAGGACATATCAGTTACTGTACATTGGCTGAATACAATAAGAGATAAAGTTACAATACTTACAATTTTTTACAATATTTCATATAGTGTGAGATGGAATCCATATTAGGTCCCCTCAGCACGTCGGCTTCCATATATCCTATTGTACCTGTACTGGTGATAATGCTTATGGAGAATTTGATGGAATGAGGATTTCCGCATCCTAGATTTGTTACCTGTATGGATATATGGAAAATAAAGGAAATGAATGTATCCTATTTTATTATTCCTTTCATCTACCATTTGACACTATATGGTCTGAGATAATGCGTGTCATGAAAGAAGCCATAAGTAAATAAATTAGATCAAACAGCTTTAATGGGGATTAGTTTAGACTGAAGTAATTGACTTAAAATCACAGGTGTAAGTGACTTTATTAATGGATAGTTATAGATAAATTGGAACAATTTAAGATAGGGTTCAGATCATGTGTGTATATAAGGTGTAAAAGTTATTTCTCTTTGTTACAGAGTTTTATAAACAGTTTCTGCAAAAGAATGTAGATGTTAAATCTAAGGCAGTTTTGCAAGGTTTAGCTGTAGCAGAACAGCTAAAGAAGTTGACTGAAGGTGAGGTTTTACTTACAACAACGACGACATATTATTATACGATTCTGTTTTGACCTTTGATTTTGACTTTCACGTTTTTCTTTATTCTAAGAGACTGTGTACTTAGTCATTGGATAATTTCACATTTTTGGTTCATGGTCATTCTGGAAAGCCCTGATCTCATCTGCTTTTTTCCAGAAAGTCATATCTTTACAATATTCTTGCAGGAAGCTGTGAGCAAATTTTCTTTCTCTTTATACTTTTCTCACCACTAAGATTTTTTGGTGTCATTCAGATGTGTGCTGTGTTCAGTTCTGTGGTCAAACTTAATCTCACAATATCACTGTTCATGTTCAGTTCTTTTTCTATGTTCTGAACAGTCAGTTGACTGTCATTTCTCATCATTTCAGACACTTCCCACATTTGGATCACTTCTTCTTTTTGGGTAACCAGATATTTTATCATTTATAACTGTTCTCTTCCATCTTGAAATTATTTAATCTAAAGGGAAACTTCAGTTCCATTAATTTTTCCCCTCTCTGCAAACTGGATCAGTTTTATTAATGTTACCAAAATTATTTTCTTGAACATATTATTTTTGGTACTTATATAAACAGAAGCCCCTCCTTGTGGGCCTGTAGTTGGAGGCAAATTTTAAGGTTAGGCTTTGGGTTTTGATGTTTGCAAATCATCGTCTGTGGTTGGTAGTACTAGCTTGGTGAACAGAATGACAGTAAAATTTTAAAGTTACTTGGGTCACCTGTTAATATGTAAGTGCCTGATTTTCTTCTAGAACCAAATCTTAATTTATAAAATAGAAATGTGAAAAAGCAATACTCTAAAAGTCTGTTATTTCATATAAAATAATCCTTATATCTGAAAAATTGTTTTCTTGTGTTGGATCCAGCATTACCAGAACTTGCATTTATGAGTTTATGACAATCCACTGGAACAGTAGAAAGTATCTTCTGAATTAATTTTTCTGTAAATTTGTTGTGTGGTATGGTGTTCTGTCACTGATGACTAGCTGCTTGGTGTGTACAGCTTCCCATAATGTCTAATAGTTGGCATTTATGATGTCTTCTGGCAAAATGAACTGCCAGCCCTCATAGAAAATGTTTCTCTGCAAACAGTTGCAGATATATCATCATCATGGCAGAACACCTGCACATTTCAGTAACATCACATGGTATCTGACTGAACAGTTCCCTGGCTTATGGATTGGCAGTGGTGGTTTGCTGAATTAGCCATCTTGTTCACTGGATATCAGCCCTTTGGATTGTCATGTATGAGGTCACATGAAAACCATTGTTCATTAATGCAAGGCAGATATAAGAGATGAACTACTTGATATTTTTTTTATTTTGCAAGCCATATTAATAACACTGCAGTTATTTGTAAGATTCTCTGTTCCTAGTTAAACTCACTAGACTGTCCGTCCAAGCTGACAATAGACATTTCGAACAATTACTTTAAGCTATGTAAACTGTACAGTGTAATCATTTTATCTTTTTTTCCAATAAAATGTTCTCGATTACAGCAGAATTGTTCCAAGTCAGGTAACATTTCAAATACTCGTGGTTGTGAAACCATTGAGAATGGGACACATATAGATATCAAAATTTTCATTCATGATGACTTTAGGAATTGCCTCCTGAAAGTAGGAGCCAGAATAGCATAGTTGGTATAGCAACTGGCTATGGGCTGGACAACCGAGGGGTTGGTGTTTGAGTCCTGGTAGGATCAAGAATTTTCTGTTCTCATATGTTGTCCAGACTGGCTCTGGGGCCCACCCAGCCTCCTATCCAGTGGGTACCATGGATAAAGTGGCAAGGGTGTGAAGCTGACCACTCACCTGCAACTAGTGCCAAGGTCAAGAAAATGTAGGTCTATACATTCACTCCCCCATACGGCTTCATGGCATAATGCTTAATTAGTTAAGCACAGGGACAAGTTAGCATTTTTTTACCTCCTGAAATTATGACATAAAATCATGGGATACTCTATATGGCATTGAGCTTATTGAACATAGGAGCTGCTAATAATGATTCTGAGAAATCTGGGAGAGACAGACAGGCATGGACTGGATGGCACAGCTATATAAATATGTGATTTTCAGGCAGCAGATTGTTATGATGAGTCCGTTTGTAAAAAAGAGGACTGACTGAGATTGCTTTCACTGGGCAAGATTAACAGTTCAATAGAGCTACATGGAGCTTGCAAGCCACAATTTTTCCATGTGTGGTATGCGTCTTAGATACAGCATCATTAAATAAACCAAAAATAAATCAATAAAATTTAAATGAAATGATGGAAGTATATGTCACCATAAAATATGCCCTCTGCAGAACTGTTTTCAATAAATAGGATAATTCTTTCCTTGAGAATGTGTGAATTTCTAATACACACTCTGAGTTGGATTTTAGGCTCTTGCAGCAGTGACTGTGAAGAGTGTGGTCTTATGTGTTATAATTAGGGACCGGACTTTTATGCCCTAATAATCTCTTAAATATGTATGCATTTATGCGTGAAAAACTTCCGAAATATGCACTAAAATATGCACATAAAAATGTATACCAAATATTAAAATTGATTTTACATTATTTTAAGATCAACAAGTCAATATTTAAGTTCATTTTATGTAATCACTGAATGATTCACTTGCAGTAAAAAGCTATACTTAAATACAAATCATGCAACAAAGCCAACATATTTCATTACAAATTTGAAAGACCAATGGTACTCACATTTAGCTTTCCAAACTTTCAAATTCTCTTCTGTTGCAGTTCACAATTACTAAATAGTTTAGATTTTCCATAGTTAGTCGCCTCCTATTGTCTCGTAAGATGTCCTTATAGCGGGAAAAACTTCTCTCCACCTCACAGGAACTTAGGGGCGCATGTACAAAAGCTGCTATTGCCCCACTGTTAGTGATTTTTTACTTGGCAGTTCATTACGTTTACCGTCTAAAATTTGTTCATGTCCTGGTTTTTTGGAAAGAATGCTGTGCACTTTTTCCTTTACTACTTCACCAACTCCTCCAGGAACCGAATTCAATTTGGAAACAGTGGTTTGAACACACTTAACTACTGATACAAAGCAGTATTGCTATTGCTTGCCTCCAATTAGGAAATTGCAATGAGTGATTAGCTTCACACTCATGCCCATATTCCCCTGGGGAAAGGGCCCCTGGTACTTATTGGGTAGGAGGCTGGGTAGGTCCCAGAGCCCATGTTGTGCTGTAACAGCTTTTATGTAACTCTTCATATTGTATGCATTGAAATTGCCCGTTAACTGAATAGCTTCACAGTTTTCTTGTTACTGACTCTAATAGTTCTTTTCAGCTTTAATGCAGAACCTCTGCTTACACCTTTTGAAGGACTTGCATCTGGAGAAGAGTTGTCAGAAATAACATTAACATTTTCATCCCCATTATTGATAAGTGATACCATATTCCAAAGTGCTACACTAGATTTTCACTTTTCACAATACAAGGGTTTCAACACAAATTTATTTAGTCTTTGGAACCTGAAAAGATGTAGTTTGCTTATTAATGTACCCAAGCAGATGCATGTAGCATTGTCAGGAGACCAAAGAATGTAATAATAATGTATTTTGATGAATGAAGATATTTTGTCACTAAGCAGCATCATTTCCATTAGAGTTATGTAGTTATGCTACTGCATTTTCTTAGGAAAGATTTTAATTCTCATATAGGAATATATTGTGTGTATGCTCGCACGCATGCACATAGCTGCTAAGGGGGAGAAGGGATGAATGAATTGCATTTAATATTAGAATGTTTCCTCTTCTAGATATGATTTAGGTAGTCGAGTATGCATATAAAAATGTAACTGTTCTGTTTTTCTTTTCTAATTGTACCCTAGTAGAGAATACCTAAAGATTATGAACTCCGCACATGCCAAGATATATATGGCAGCCACAGCTCTTATCAGTGTGCAAGTATGACTGTTGGGCTTTCACATATGAGACAGATCCTCATTCCCACTCTTTTTTTCATAATTTTGTAATTATACCAGTAAACTTAATTTCTTAATTTTAATATTATTCATTTTTAAAGTTTTTAGTTACTCTGTGTTATGATACTGACAAGGAATGGAACTATATCCCAAATTAACATTTACTTTTGCTGGTAGTATATAAATGAAAAATTGAAATTAAGAGAAACAGAATACTTTTTATTAAGTGAAAAAAAATTCACTTATTTTTTCATTACAGAGATTTTTTTTCCTGTGAAGTTGAACAGTCGTATCAGAAAGTTCCATTGTACAACACACTGCTTTCTCATGGCATAATTTACGTCTGTGTTTCTATGTGTATAAATTATATAGTAATTTTGGGAACAGTTTCTTGGTATTTTTGTAGGAATCACTCTTTTGGACAAGGAGTTGCAGGGACAAGTTCTGGCTAATCATGAAGATCTTCTTTCACAAGCAACATGGGTTGAAAAACTGGAAGGGGTGCTTGCTGTTATGCAGACACATGTTCAGGTATTAAATACATGATAACTTACTGAAACTGAAAGTCTTGCTTTCCTCAACAGCAGTTCTAATAGAGAGCTCTTGTAAAGATAGTTTGTGAGTTTGAATCGCTCTTAAATATAATGCTCCCATCATTAGTTTTCCTATCTGATTCACCTCTAGAAAGCATTCTTTATAATAAAATACAAAGAAATGTTTTACAAAAAAAAGTGAAGCATTTGAATTACAAATTAAGCAGAGCCAATAGAAAAAAGTCCCATTTCACATGTAAATTAATGACTTTCAGAGGCTTAACGTTCAGTCACTGCAACAGAAATATTTTAAATCAAGGAAACATGCATGTGCAAACATAAGTGCAGAAGATTGTGTTCATTTTTTGCAGCCTCGGTATTCAAAGTACCATATCGTAAGATTCATGTGTGTAGTAAAATATTTCACATTGCAGGAGACATGGTTTGTTCCATTTTCATAGAAGTTATCCTGATAAATCTGGCACATTTTTAAAAATGTATTACCATGCAAATCATGACACCTTACATCAAAGACTGAACATGACCAAATAGCACCAATGCTTCATATTCAGGAGGTTCCTATTTCAAATTCTGACCAGGAGACTGTCCATCCTGACTGAAGTTTTTTTTTATTCTTTCTTGGCAAATTCTGGGATAGTACCTTAACTCTTTAAATCCATTTGTAGTACACATACCACACTGCTTGCCTTGCCAAGAAACCAATTGTAGTATGTGTACCACCACAGCGTTAGGGATCTACAGACTACGTGGAATATTGACATACAATTTTCACCATTCAATAGCCTAAATCTTGTAGTTTTATGGTTCAACAGTAGAGGTCTCAGCCTAATATCAGTGTGAAGTGGTGCCACCTACTGTCATGTGCTGCATTTGTTATACCTCAAGTTGCATATTCTCTCTCTCTCTGTCAGTGAATGCCCCTATGTTGTTCGACCTTCTGTCATGTTGAAGAATGAGTCGATCAAGAAGAGGTCATGTACTATTCTAAAACTTGGTTGCTACCGTTTGAATGATGTTCTTTCAGAGTTTATTCCATAATGTTTACAACAGTGATGATAATTCTTGTATTCCAATATGTGTTGTGGTACTGTTCAAGTGTTTGCTGTCTGCTGTGGAGCGTCTGCGCGCAAAAATTGTTGAACCCTACAATAAGATAGAGCTTCAGACTGTGATGCTGTCTCGCCTCCATGCAACCTCAGACCTTTTGAGGCGTGTGGCTCGTATACAGCATTTGTCCCGTCGACTGGGAGCTCAGATGCAGGGTTCTAACCTTGATATCACCAAGGCTGCACAGAGCCTCAGTGAACTAAGTATGCTCTGAGATTTTTGTTCATTATGTTATCTTTAATATTTGCCACCAAAAATCAAATCTGTGTCTAATGACATGAAAAATTTTAAAATTCAGTTGACAACATTTTTATTACAAAACTCTTTTTATACATGTGATGAATTCTTTAGTAACAAATTTGCCTAGAAATAAGGATAATAACATAAACAATTTTAATATTGCATAATTTTACGTATAGTGATGTAAGACTGTTTTTATATAAATTTAACACATGTTTTTTATCTATTACAATGATTATAATCTGTACATATATATTTATAATTGTATTGTACTATATTAACTATGTGACTGGTTCTATATCTATGTATATGGATTTATGGAATATACAATAAATGAATGAATGAATGCTACACAGATCTAGCCTAATAATTTGTAACATTCATGCTACCAGCTTGAATCCAAAGAATGAGGTTTCATCTTATTTCTTTGCTTCAGCCATACCATGTCTTATTTGTTGCTTCATAATTTCAGTAGTTCATATAGCATTCTAATATAAGTTTATGATACAAGAGATTGTCTTGAATAATGAACCGAAAGGGAATTTTGAAATAAGCTGGGAAATGTTCACAAACAGGCATGAATTATATGTGTGTATTCATGAAGTAGACTTTAATAATTGGTGGTGATTGCCTCAAAAGCTTTAGTGTGTATGAAGATATGTGCTTCTGAAAACTTTTTCTCTTTTAGTGGCTGAGACAATTCACATTATTCTCAGATTTACTGATGTGTGTAAAAATGTGTGTCTATCCAAAGTGATACATATTTAATTTGTTTCAAAATTCAGTCTCTATTAAATTTAAGTGAAGATTGTAATAACAAGTTGAATATAATTCCATCCATTTAAATGTGATTGGCAGGCGTGATGGTGGAACTAATATTCCTTAATGTGTAGTTGCAAAATAATATACATAAAAGTGTTTTTATTTTCTTTCAGTGTTGTTGTCTGATTAATTCATGTTTGCAAGTACTCCTGTGTTGTTTATTAGTAATGTAATGTTTGAAACTATTATTTTGGACTCTGTCTATTGTCCATGATTACTAGAACCAGTAAAAAGTAAAGGTGTCCCTGTAACAAGTTTTGGAGGCCCATAATGTTGTGAGACGTCGAGGCTTCCATATTTTGTAGACAGTCGGCTCATAGATGATGGTGAGGCTGTCATCCTTATGTATCAGCCGCCCTTTATTCCCTAGGAAAATTCCTGGTACTCATTTCTTTTAGAGGCTGAGTTGACCCCTGGACCATAGTGCAGTTGGAAGGAATAGGTCAATTTAAAAATCCAGTGACCTTATCAGGAATTAAACCTGTGACCTTCAAGCTGATAGCATAGTGTCTAAGCCAACTATGCTACTGTGTGCACCCACTGAAACAGTATATTTCAGTAATTTGTTCCATTTCCATCGTCAGGTTAACAGCTACTCTCAATCTGTGGACAGTGGTTTGAGAACAGTAGAAGAAGAGTTTTTAAATAATGTGTCACACCCTCATCAGAAAGCTTTTAACTTAGTTAATATTGCATTAGCTTTAAATTTTTTAAAATGAATTTGATGTACCTCTAGGTCAGTTGTCTGAGAATGTTGATCTGTCCAGACTTGAGGTTTTAGAGGAAGATCAACGTTCCATTCGAAATCATCGTATTGAGGTTGAGAAACAAGCAAAACTCATGCTAACACAGGGGCTTCAGGCTCAGAACTTAACACAGGTAAGTTTGAAATGTTGAACCATTTTCTGTTATTGATTCTAGCTTGAGTTGTATTGCTTCTCACATGAATTTCATAGATTTTCATAGTCCTAATAAAAAATTACATGCCTATCATCATTATTAAAAAAGGAAGTCTGTGAACCTGAGTGAGAAGGAAATAGGTTCAGATTCAGTAACAGTATCTCCTTTCATAGGGAATTAATGCTCTATTAGTGGTCTCTTAGATATGAAATTACTTTTTCTCCAAAATGGTGCATCATAGGAAAATATTGTAAATCCCTGAAATGTTCCTCCTGCCTACCTACCCCCAGGAAAGATGCACACTAGATATAAGTTACTAGATATAGATATAAGATATAAGTTACTAGATACTAGATATAAGTTAATCTGCTTCAATTTTTGTTTGTTTTTTCTATATATTACAGTTCTGTAGGTCTATAGACTCTAGATTTGTATTTTGGAAGTGTTCTGTTTGAATCTTGACTGGGAAATCGGCTATTCTGAATGAGAGTTCCATTGTTTTACTTCAGGAATATTCAGGGTAGTACCATGATTAGGCCATGAACATTTCCTTCCAACTCATTTCCAATTAATCATTCATCTTTTTTCCTACCATTTGATGTTATCTAGACTTGCAGTGGACAACTTCATAAAATAAACTACAAAAGGAAGTGTCTTGGCTACACAGCATCAAGTGATAGGATGATTGATCAGTGATGAATTCAGAAGGATTGACAAGGAAACAGCTGTGGCATAGTGAAGGCACTGTTCTGACATTTGCCTGGAGGGGTCAAGGAAGAATGCAGAAATCCTCAGTCAGGAAAGCCAGTGTCATGGCTGCGATTCAAACCAAACACCCCTGAATACAAGTCCGGAGCATTACTGTTGCAGCAGACAGCTTGTCACTTCATTGTAGAATGTAGTGAAGAGATAATGTAATTGTGAAGATAATCAATATGAGATTAATTTTTATGTTTAATCATATCAACAGTTCATTAATCAACATTTGAAATGAAAAGGTAAACAAATCCAGTTGAATAATGAAGATTCTCTCATGAACTGTTTTAGTCTATAGATACTGGAAAGGCAGCCATTTTACATAATGTTTTTGTGAAGACAGAGTAGATTCATCATCAAAGGTTAGCCAGTGAACTGATAAATGGTGATGTGATGCTAGATACGTTCTGATTGGTTTAACATATATCTGTGGTCTGCTACCATTCGTGGGTAGAAAATTGTAATTGGAGGTTTTGAAGCAAGATTTTCATCATGTGGTACTCCTGAAACCAAGCATGTTTGCTCACGTGGTAACACTTTTGATTTATGTGCAGGTGGTGTCCTGATTGAATCTTGGCCAGGACCCCAACTATTCTGAGGATTCTTTGTGGTTTCCTTCAGTCCCTCCAGGCAAGTGCCAGGATAATGCCTGGAATGGACTACAACCACTTCCTGCCACATCCTTTCCTCTTCATCTGTTATGCTACCATTTGATGCTCTGTAGTCTGAGTTACTGAGAGTGTTATTAAATAAATTTGCTGACAAGATTGAGTTCGGAACTTTACAGTAAGATGAGAACACACATTCTGCAGTGCATCTTAATTGAGCCATCTATTACATGCACAATACTTAGATGGTATAATTCACCGTAGAAAATTTTGTGCAGGTTGCAACAGCTGTGCAAGTCTTCTACAACCTTGGGTCACTGGAAAGTACAGTAAGCCTTGTGCTTGAAACAGCAGAGCAGAACATAAAGAAAAGTATAAAAGAGGCGTTGGATATAAGTACACTGAGCCAGACTACTTCAGATGTCATCAAAAGTAGAGGTCTGGTTAATATAGTATAACCCATATAATATTTACGTTAAATTATAATTGATACTTAATAGACATAGTGCAATGCCTGAACTGTATTGAATAGGCATGTGGAGGAATGACTTGTTCATTTTGAGATGAGATTTTGGAAAAATTTTGAGAATTAAGACAAGAATGAGGACATTCTCCAATAGTTGCGTGCTTTTCTGATTGATACAATTCAAAATACTGGCAACATTTCTCAGTAAAATAAAGAATACTATTTACTTGCTTTGATATTAGACACCTTTCCAATGAAAATTTTTCATAATTCAGTGTAATTTTCAGTACCCACCAACCAGGCTGCAACACTGTCTGAACCCAAGAGACCACAGATTTGTCCCTGTGGGGATGATGTTTGAATGTTTCTGTAACCTGCAATACCAGAGGCCCTCCAAGAGTTCTATTTATATCCATCCTCTTAATGTGCCCAAACCATAATCTTTTTATTTGTATTTGTTTTGTTGTATGTTTTATGTAGGTGGTCCAGGTAGAGCAGCCATGCCCTCACCAGGCAACACTGCCAACTTTCGTTCTCGTCTGTGGGCAGCTTTGGAACTTCTGTTTGATACTTCTATATATACAGAGTGTTATCAGGTAATTTATGTACCAAATCAGGGACATTGTGGGTCCTTATCAGTCAGTAATGTAGATTCTGAAAGGTTTCGATGATGGTATATAACACTCAGAATTATTGAGTTTTTTGACTTTATCTATTGTCTGGTATTCTAAAAACCAGAGAACACAGCGTTTCAGAAACTGGATCTGTTCTTGTCCTCAGATGAATGGGGAAGACACCTACTCTGTTGCGTCCCTCAGAAAGAGCTAACCTCAATCACTGGACAACACATGTCACTATAACTAGAGCTGTATAAATACCTGAGACCAGTATGTTGAAGGGAGATAAGTGGAAAATGTGCAATAAAAGTTGTGATAAGGCATGCACAGACCTGAAAGTAAGAAAGGGAGAGAATTTTGTGCAACAAACCCAGTCCCTGAAAACCAATGCATAGAATTAAATGGATAACTTTTTAAACCATTTTGTGCCTACTGATTGCACCATCTATGGAGTAAAAACTGAACACTCGGGACTAAAACTCCATACATGGCACCAGCAATAGACACAGAATGATTTCTCAAATTCTCCATTTAAACCTATGCATTGGTTTTCAGGTTGCCTAAAATTTTCACCTCCTTTTCTATCTTAATTCAGATCTGTGCATGTTTTATCACAGTTACCGGGTTCAGTGTGCCAGGGTGGAATTGTGCAAAAAAATGTTTAAAAGTATTTGGCACTTCATTTAGTTTTAAGAATGGCATACAAATGTTGCTGGTTCCACTGTCTCACGTGCAACACGTCTTTCTATAAAACTTACTAAAATCATTAACTTCAAAAGTTTTACATGTCACATAACTTTTAACTTTCTAAAGTTTTTCACTACATGTTTCGACCAATACGGTCATCATCAGGTGTTCAAAATTAAAGTTGAGGAAACTGCTGTGCTCTTCTTATCATGGCTTTGATTGTTAATATATGGTGCCCTCAATGCATGTATATATTGAAGTTACAGGTTGTTCTTCCTGTTGTGTTATACTGCGTGTCTTTTTTTATGCTTGCATTAGGTGGAGCTCTTGCAGAGGATACTGGTGTGCAAGTTGAGAGTGGACTCTGGAATGTTGTCACAACATAACTCCACCTGTTACATGGACCTGTTGCCTCCAGAAAGACAGCAGCTAGCAGCCAGCTTGTGGCAGGCTGTCACCAGTCTTCTGGCCCATGAACTTGCGCAGGCTGCACAAGGTGTCTATGCTTCGTTGGTTACATTACATGCTCTCTAAAACGCTTAACTGTTATGCTCTCTGTTTCATGTTCTCAGATATGAGGAGTGGCTTAACTGTTATGCCCTCTGTTTCATGTTCTCAGATATGAGGAGTGGCTTTTCAAAATATGTTTTCCGTATTTTCTCCCAGGATAAGGACCAGGCTGCTAACAGGATGATCTGAGAATCATGTGTGATTTCAATTGGGGGCACAGATTTTTCTCTTCACCACAATGGCCAACTGTCTCCAGGGCCCACCCAGCCTTCTGCTTGAGGGGTACTCAGGCCCCTTTCCCTGATTGTGAAGCAGTGATCTGGGAAACTGACCACTTGAGTCTGTCTAGTGCGGAGTTTAAGAACGCATGGAGCTATACCTCCACTCCCATGCATCCCCACAGCATGATAATTAAATACAGGGGTAACTTTACCTTTACCCTATAATCATATATTGTGTTACCAGGACAAATATATTCTGTGAACGAACTCTTCATATTTTGTTTAGTTCATATGGTGCAACCTCTCCATTTTCCCTTAATATGAAGTATATACAGTGCAACCTTGATATTACAAGTGTATACAATTAAAGCAAATATTTGCTTGTTCTCGTAATATCCAAAACTGGTTGAAGTCTGCTAATGTATGGTTATGTATAATACATTGTGGCATTAATACTTGAATGGTAATATGGATGCAGCAATATTTCTCCTCCTTTTGAATGGTTATCATGGGTATATGAAAATAATGAAGAATAATTCAACATTTTTGTTGTTTTTAGCATTATTTGAACTGAAGAGTTAAAGATTTTCTTACATAACTTCCTCTACTTGCAACAAATTGCTGATTAGGTGCTGTGCTTTACGAGTAGCAGTTCTGCCGAATCTTTGCTGCTCACGCTTCACGCAGATTCTGCTCACATATCAGAGCATGTGCATAAGTAGAAGGATAAGTGTGGTGACCTGTGTTATACTGGGGAAACAGGCCAACACAGGATCCAGTTTAGATCTCATTTATGCTCGACATAAGTGCATTAAGTTATGGGTTGTCCTAAATGCCAGGGCTATGAGAATAAACATCAACTCATATTGAAATGGAGTTCCAGTCCAACACACAGTGCCATTGAAATTTCACTAAAATTTGATGTACATGCATTACATTATAGGTTGTTCTCAACTCTGTGATTGGAATACAACCTTTTGATGTTGTGTATGTAAGAAAAGTTTGTGTAACAGGCATTATATCTACCTGCTTAACTGTAACTGGTGATGATATGTACAAGGGGGGACCCAAAAATAACCGGAAACGACCTGTTGCACGCGCATGCTTTGTAGTTACGAGTTGTGCTGCTAGGTGGTGTTAGCTGGGGATCTCCCGCGACTGTTAGTGAGCTGGCGTCAGTCTGAGTTAAGTGGTTTGTCTGTGGTGCTCTGTTGTGTGCGTTCCTGTTTCAACCCTTTGGCGATTAGTGAGATGGCCGACCAGAAGGAACAAAGAGTGTGTGTGAAATTGATGAAGATCGTCGAAAGACCATTGACCAACTTTCTGAGGAAATGAACATCTCGTGCAGCACGGTCCAGCGAATTTTAACCGAAGGTTTGCACATGAGACGGGTGTCTGCAAAATTTGTTCCTCGCTTGCTCGGAGATGACCAAAGAGAAAACCGCGTGAATGTTTGCCGCAACTTGAAGAGTGAAGTGCAGTTTTCCCTAACAGAAAGCAAAATTTCACGCACACTCTTTGTTCCTTCTGGTTGGCCATCTCACTAATCGCCAAAGGGTTGAAACAGGAACGCACACAACAGAGCACCACAGACCAACCACTTAACTCAGACTGACACCAGCTCACTAACAGTCGCGGGAGACCCCCAGCTAACACCACCTAGCAGCACAACTCGTAACTACAAAGGATGCGCGCGCAACAGGTAGTTTCCGGTTATTTTTGGGTCCCCATTCATAAGTCATACATTAATTCATAACTGTTTAATTTTCTAACCTAATAAAATTAATTGTAGATAAGTTACCACACTCGTAATGAAAATAACTTCGTAACGTGGATATCATCTTTAACATCTTAATTCCCACTCTCTTGACAATATGCTGGTTACACAGTTTTAATCTCATTGTGTCCATGACATAGGTTTTTATGTGGCACTTAAGTGGCAACATTTGCAGTTGTGATAGTGAGAAATATTTTGTCAATGGGAAAGTCATGACAAGAAATAAAACTGAGTTTAATGAGGGACAAAACAGTAAACATATGCCTGCATAGCTGTATTCTGCAACTTTGTCATCTGGAGTCAGTGGTAGCTCAAGGGAAAGGGAAGGCCATGTTAGTTGAAGGGGAAGATACTGCCCGTGTCTCCGTAAACAAGCCAGACATCACAGTACACAGTGAAGAGGCTACTGCTGGCCTATGAAATTCAGAGTGCGTCATATGATGTACACTTCTCCTCCTCATGGAGGAGGTAAGGTGCTATCAGTTTCTGGAATGTGAACTTTCCCCTAGTCAAGGGTAGGACAGAGAGGGTGGATTAACAAGACCTTCATGGACTGCCAGCCATAAATAAATTTTGAAGCAAAACATCAAGTACAGTTTGTGCAAAACAGTGGTGGCTTGTTACAAATTATTCATTATGATTGTGTGGGAAGAAAGCACTCATTGCATTAGGTGGTTTTCCATTAAGAAATTGCCAATTCCAATGATTTTTGTCATTGTAATGAGTCCTTGTTTAATCCATTTTCACTCTAATGGAGTTTCACTGTGTGAAAGAAATGATTTTATTTCCATATAGAAATTTGTATAAAAGAAGGAGTGGGTTATGTAAGGGTAAAAATTTGTCAACATCACTGTTGCTCAATGAATTTTTATAATAAATTAATTTTTCCCATTAATCTCTTACCCTTCCTCAAGTCAGAAAGGTCTCATTTGAAACCAAACATAAGCAACAGTATGGGGGAAGTTTTCAGGTAATACTCGTATATGCTGTTACGTGCAAATCATTATTTAATTTGATGGACTAAAAAAAATACGAAGTCAAGGACACATGGCAGCATAGTTGGTTAAGGCACTATGCTACCAGCTTGAAGGTTGTGGGTTTGAGTCCTGTTGATGTCATCAGTTTTTCAATTGACCTAATTCTTCCAGCTGTATTATGGCCCTGAGGTCTACTCAGCCTTTGAAAGAAATGAGTACCAGGAATCTTGCTGGGAGTAAAGGGCAGTTGTCACATAAGGCTGACAGTCTTACCTCCATCAGTAAGCTGATTGTCTAGAAAATGTGTGAGCCTCGATGTCTCACAACCATCTGGGCCTCCACAACCTGTTACAATGATAGCGTTACCTTCTTAGTATGTTATTTTCACTTCACTGATATGAATAATTCTAGATACCAAGTTGCTATAGTATTTTGATATTAGATAATGGAATGTTTTATCCATAAAACTGTGTTTATTTCTTTTCTGTATTTGTGAATATTGAAGTCTTAAGGTGGTCAGGTGGTTTTCTTTCCTCAGGTTCAATGTTTATAAAACAAGCCCTTGAAGGTGAATATCCAAAATTTCTTCGTCTTTACCTGGATATGTGCAAGAGAATTCAAGCCATTGGTCGGAACTCAGACCAGATGGAAACTGCCTTGACAAGTGGTGTTGAACATGAAGGCACTGATTCCGGGAGCTTCCATATAAAGTGAGTTGCTGCTTGTCTCAGTAGAATAAGATTTTTTGTCAGAACACAGAGGGAAGTGTTGGACACCCCTCTCTTCAGCCTGTACCAGCTCATAATGCATACATTTACTTCATGGAGACACTGTCTTGAAAAGTACTCACATTTTTTATGTATATTGAGGTTCAGCTTCTAAAGACAGTGAAACTGATATGATTTATGGTTTTTACTATTAGTCAGTATAGCAGCTAGGCTACAAACAGTAGTGCTTTATTTCTATTGGGATGTAATGCTTTGTAGTGTGGTAAGCATGGCATGCTTGTCAGTTGATTTTGAATTATATTTTTCCACTATATTATAAAAAAATATTTTTGTTTCATTCTTCCTTATAGTCGTGAGGTGGTCTCCCAGTTTGAAAATGCATATTTATCACGTTCTGTGTCCCGGTTGCTGGATCCAGTCCATCTTATGTTCTCTGGAGATGCTGTTCCTCCTCATGAGGAAGTTGATTCTCTCATCAGAACAATTACCAGGTAGATAAACAACTTTATAAATGCTAAATTTAGAATTCTATGAATTTTGTGTAACTCTTCTCACTGCCTATTAAATGTTGTGTATGAAAGAGAAAGTGAAGAATAAATTTAAGAAAGTATTTATTTATTTGGACTACATGTTTAACCCTTTTCATTCTGTGAGTTGATTAGATCTGCTTGGAAAATTTTTGTTAAATCTGACGATGCTGAAGAGTTTGATTTGATGGTAATCACTTACTAAATTATATCTGTCAACATGTGGCATCAAGTTTTATGTATGAGTGTTTAGAAGAGAGATGGGCTTTCTGGCTGTCTACAGCTTTGGTTGTTTGAAGGCAATCTTTGAAAGAATTATGGTTTTATATGTTGAGAGGCAGTTATTCTCAAGCAGATTTCAGCAATGATTTGCTTGAATACAAACTTTACCATCATTTATTTTCTTTACATATTTTGTTACAGCCTTTTTGAAAGAATAAGTTTATTGACTTAATATATATCCCCCACAATTTTCATATATCTTTTATGAATGAATAATTATGTATACTTATGTATTTCTATTTATTTAGAAGGGACAGTAATTTGGAAACTATTTTGTTTCTTATTTTGATCTCAGTGAGCTGAGTGTGTCTCTTGTTGACGTGTCCCTGAGTTGTACAGTTGCCCGAAATATAAGCAAGACTGTTCGCTTGTTCTGCCTCAAGTGTGAGCAGATGATCATTACTGATGGAGAAGCTACACAAGTTATAGGTAAGTTCATTATCTGTCATGCTGTATCTTTGGGAACAGAAACCATCATTTTCATCTTTTCACTGAACGGAAGTTACCAAAGAAGATTACGGTCTTCTGGGATGTGGGATCATGTAGTTTGGTAGCATTGTACCAGTGATTCAGAGCCACTTGCTGCCTGGATCTGCAGAGTAGAAAGCAAGCCAGACTGGCGATGGAAGATACAGGCAGAGGAAAGGAAGGACAGGAACCAGGGTTGTGAATGAGTCCAGTGATAGATGATGACCCTTGAGAGGAATAGATCTACCATGAAATTGGAGGTAGCAGGTTCATTTGAAATGGGCTATGACTGCTTTCATCCCAGGCCTTTCCAAATCACTGTCATTGAAGCTATATAGCCAGCGTTACTGACAGCATTGTTAAATAAATTTATGAAATGCCTTTCATGCATGGTGGAACACTGATCCCTATCTTGTGCCAGATGAATTTAATCCACATCCTTGCACCCTTTTAATATTATCCTCTCACCTGTGCCAGGGTCTTGGAAGTGGTCATTTCCTTACAGGTTTTGAAACTAAATTCTCTATGCATTTTACATCCCTCCCATAAGTGCCATATGCTCCACTCATCTCATCCACCTGATTTGTTCACTCTAATAATATACAGTCAGGAGTACAAATATGATGCTCCTCATTATGACAAGTGGACTCTTCAGCATCGTATTCTCAAGTACTCTGAATCTGTAAGGATACCTTGAAGATGAAGACGGAAGGTTCCTCCAAAACACTGTACCAGAGCCCAGAAGTAATCTTCATAGTCAGCGCTATGAGAACCCTGAATCTCACATGTGGATGCCTCCTCACTTACTTCCTGTACTCTATTGATTAGCGTGTTGTGAGAAAATATAGTACGGTGGAAACCAGTCAAATGTTTCCTGATTTTAAGTTTTCCCTCATTTAATGTCCAGTTTCAGTGATCTGAAGCCAGTAAGTAATCTTTGATTAATTATCTGCTTTTAAGATTTTCCTCAGTTTAATGTGCATATCCACTGCTTCCCAAAGAAATCTTAAATGAGGTTCCACTTCAATTGCCTGTGAATATTTAAGTTTAAGTTCTCATGCATTGCAGAATAAATCAGATTATAATTTTTCTGAAACTGCTAGAATCCAGATTATTCTGTGGTTAGTTGAGATTAGTGTATGCAGATCTTCTTTTTACATTAACAGCTGTAGTGGAAGCAGCACTGTGGTGTTAACAAGATGTTCAGGATATTTATTTATATGCTGATGGCTTGTTCTTGGTCACATAATGTGTTTCAGACACTTGCACGCCTGGTCAGTTGCTGAACATATCCATAGCAAATTTGGTACACTACCTGAATGGACAAGTGGGACGAGTTATGGCCAATATGAAGTCAAGTTTGTCACCAGATGCTGCTAAAATAGTACAGGAATCTTTAAGCCATACAGACAAATTAATTCAAAATATAGTCACTCCTCTCTTGGCATCGATATCTGATGCTATAGAGGCAATTATCCTTACCATGCACAATGAAGACTACTCTATGTAAGTGTTTTGTTTCAGGCAGCTTTATTGTATAGTGTGATTCCTAGTTAATGAACCCTTCAGGGAAAGCCTTCTCTTACATTAGACTGAGCCTCATACTAATGGAGGACTATGAATAATTTGGTCAAGAAACTGTTTATCCTCTTATAAGAGTTCTTATATGTAATTATGATAAGAATAATTTCTGTACATTAGCAGTTAAAGGAACTGTTCCTACACAAACAAATATGATTTGTTTCTAAAATAATTAGTAGCATAATATAAACACTTATAAAAACTCGGTCAGGAATCGAACGAACTGTGATACCACAGACATACTCTGGTGCATCAGCAGTATATGGTGTCACCCATCAAGGATGTTGGTTTTCTGGAAACTGTTCTGCTGGGGCTGCTTGAAAGTTGTGCCTGTAGCTGTGAGACAGAGATTGTGGTTTCAGCGCAACAGCGGTCCAGTACACTATGAGGAAGATGTTCGGCAGTGGTGTAACATGACTTATCAAGGAAAGTGGATTGGACATTGAGGACCAATTGTATGGCCTCCTTGGTTACCAGATCGGATTCTGCTAGATTTTTTCCTTTGAGGGAACTTGAAATAGTACATTTATGGAGCTGCTCTGAGAGTATCTAAGATCTCATTTGCAAGACTTAAGCAGCTGTTACAGCATACTTTGCCAACATGTTAAGGCATGTTGGAGAGAAGTTCATGTGGGGCACTGCATTCTGCTTTGAAATGGATGGAGGATGTTTTGAACACCTATTGAAACTATGATGCACCTATGGTTTGATCATTTAATAGCCTGTGCTGTTTGACAGAGGTGTTTATCTTGGAAAATAAATGTCACATGTCATATATTGTATAGTATTTTCTACTTGTCTCTTAACAAGGAATCACAGTATAGATGCCTTGTGCACAGATTTCATTTCATCCTGTATAAAAATAAACTGTAAAGTGAAGCCTCTATTAAGATTTTCTTTTTGGACAAGTGGATTGTAACATTAAACAGAGGAAAATCTTAAATGGAAGCAGTTTAGCACTGAGTTTATTAACTTGGGGTCATTTAAATTGAATGCTGGATGAGAGAAAATCCAAAATTGAAGAAACATTAAATGGGTGTTCCTGTATATATGTGTATACAATTTCACTTGTGAAGATACATACATTGGTAAGTAATAATATTGTATTTAAGCATCCTGTTGCATTAATATATCTTTTGTACATATATTTTTCCATCTTAAATACCACTTATCATCTTGTGACTCTTCTTCCTCGCTACATGTTTAGGTTACATACGGCCATCAGTAGATATTATCTGTCTTGCTAAAAGTGTTGCACTGTATTTCAAAATTACGTATCATATGTGAACACAATATTTCCTATTTGAAAGAAGATAAATTTAATTACTGTTAAATAAAATCTTAATGTTTTTCATTGTGGTCATCATGCATCCATTTGAACGACATTTGCTTGTGTTTTTCTCATTTTGGATTTATTCATGCAGCATTCATATTGCAGGGTGGATATTATGCATGTTATTTGTGCAGTTTGTAAGGATGTTGATGTAGTGTTATTGTGAATTTTGTTATGTATGCACTTTTGGCCCATAGGTTTTTCCTTGCTGCTAGAGTAGTTATCTACATACATGGACCAGTTAATAACATAACTACTCTAGCCACAAATTTTTCATCACCTTTTTTCATTAACCACATGGATGCTCACTGTTGGTTAGTATTCCACTCTGTTCATTCAGTCATGGCTTCTGAGCTACCAGACCCCCCTCTCAAAGGCATTAGTCCTGAAGATGGCAACTGCAGGGTTTGTTGAAACATTTGAAAGACCAACATTTGACACTGTCTAGTCCTGAGAACCCAAGCCACATGTAAGCTCAAGCCATGAGAACCTAAAGACTAGAATAATTACAGTAATTTGCTGGCTTTTTTCTCCTTCTGTTGTACATGTAATGTTCCTGGTTTTAGGAGACTAGAAACAGGAGAAAGTGGCCTTAATACAAGCATGAGAAAGTCAGATGTTTCCCAATGTTCCTTGTACATGAAAGAACTACAGGGCTTCATTGCCAGGGCAGCGAGCAATTACTTGGCACCATTCCATAATCAAGAAATAGTTATGAAGTGGTAAGAATAACTATATGAAATGTATAAGGGAGTGAAACCCCTCTTTAAAATTTCTTTGGAGATCGGTGGATTTGAATGTTAAACTGAGGAAAATCTTAAGTCTTGGAAATGTAGCACTGAGATTATTGACTTGGGATTACTGAAACTGAACATGGAATGAGGTAAAACATTAAGTCTAGAAACATTAATAGGGGTTTCTCTTTTCTTGGTATTAAAGAACTGTACATTGAAACACCCATTTAATGTTTGATTTGAATATTAAACTGAAGGAAAATCTGAAGTGGAGGAAATTTAACGCTGAGATTGTTGACTCGGGATCATTGAAATTGAATGAGAAATGAATGAAAACCTAAAACTTATAAACATTAATTTGAGGTTCTACTGTACTTTATAATTAGGCAACAGACAGTGAAACACCTATTTAAGGTTTCTCTGAAGATCTATGGATCCTAATGCTGAAGTGAGGAAAATCTGAAATGAAGGAAATATACCGAGATTTCCGTCTTGTAACCTTTGAGATTGAAAATTAAATGAGGGAGAACTTTAAATCAAGGAACATGAAGTGGGGGTTAAATACTTTCGTACTGGATTTTATAAATAGTGAAATGTTGAATGTTGTTCAAGCGCACAGCCATTAATGATGTGCCTCTAAACACATGCACACACACTCACATGCACACGCACGCGCATATTTCTATATAGACATACATATCACAAAGAGATTGTTACAGGAAGTGTCTGAATGTCGAATATTTCTGTCTTTTTGCATGTGGTGCTGTGTACTCTGTAGGTGCTTAATACATTTTGGAGGAATGTGCTCTGTATATTTAGGATAGAAGAGCCTTTCATGATGGCATAGGGGATAGGTTCCTCCAAAACTTCAGGAAATATCTACCACACATCATGCTACCACATCCCACAAAGTAGTAATCTTCATAGTTTATAAAGACAAAACAACCCCGTCCAGTGTAACTGTTTAAGTTTTACCACTTGAAAACTCAGCACCCTTACATGTTTTGATCCTTACGGATCATCTTCGGAAGGAACATCGATACTTATTTGGAAACTACTATCACAATATGTGTTCTGAGTGCTAAATTACATACACACAATGCCTGGAATACGTAATATACACAAAATCCAATTTTTTCACAATCACAGCAGCTTTCCTGGTATATTAAAGTTTCTAAAGTTTTTAAAACTGTGTTGTTTAAGTTAAAATTTATAAACCACGTATGTTCATGCCACTTCTATCGTCTTTCTTGAAAGGGGCTGAACTTGTGCCGCCTGTCTATCTTGAGAAGGACATTCTTGGTATCTTCCTGTGTTTGTTCGTGGTTTGCTGTGTTGTTTTCACAAGTTCAGCCCCCATCAAGAAAGACGATAGGAGAAGTGACATGAACCTACTTGGTTTATAAATTTTAACTTAAACAACAAAGTTTTAGAAACTTTAATATACCAGGAAAGCTGCTGTGATTGTGAAAAAATTGGATTTTGTGTATATTATGTATTCCAGGCATTGTGTGTATGTAATTTAGCACTCGGAACACATATTGTGATAGTAGTTTCCAAATAAGTATCGATGTTCCCTCTGAAGATGATCCATAAGGATCGAAACATGTAAGGTTGCTGAGTTTTCAAGTGGTAAAACCTAAATAGTCACAATGGATGGAGTTGTTTTGTCTTTGTAATTGTTGGTATGACAGACCAGAATGAAACAAATCAAATTCATAGTTTATGCTTGAGAGTCCCAGATTTCACATGTTTAAATTTTCTTTCAGCTCTGTTCCTGTTGCAAGCCGCTGCATGGAGCTGTTCCTGAACCATGCTTGCTTGGTTCGTCCTTTGGGAGAGGGAGGGCGAGTTCGACTTTCTACCGATTTTAGCCAGGTTTGTATTAGGGTGTATAACATCAGTGTTGATGGGATGTAAAACAGACCTAATCAAAGTTAATTTGGTGTGTAAAAATCTTGCTTTGTTTATTAGAGAAAATTAACTCCTCAGTCAGAAGCCAGTATAGTGTTTTGTAAATTATCTTTTGTTCATGCAGATGAAATGTTTGCAATTTTTATATTGTAATGGTATTCCTTTCATTCATTCATTTATTTATAGTTCCAAAAAATCCATAGAGGCATCTGCCTCAGATATAGAACAAGTCAACAATACAATATAACATATAAATATACATACATAATCATGTCCAAGTCGTCAGATATAGAGAGGAAATAAAGGAACAATGGTTGTGTTTCCTTGTTTTCTACAACTCCATCTTCTTTCCTCCTCCTCCTCTGTTCCTCTCTTTGCTCTGTTCATCCTTTTTTTCCTTTTCTTCATCTCTTTTTCTTCAACTCACTGTTCTCTATTTTCTCTTTATTCTCCTCCACTTCCACCACTTATTTTCCCTCCCTCCTTCTCCCCCCATATTTTCCATTTTGTCTGTCTTCTTGTTCTGTTCTGTTCTGCTTCTGTAATTAGGGTCTGATATTCTTTACCTGTTGTATAAACAGGGGCTTAAATTTATGCCTTTGCCTTACAGAGGAATCATCCCAATGGCAAGCCATAAATCCTAATGCCAAAATTATAATGTAATATAGTGTTTCCCAAACCCCGTGTGCTTGGTACCCCTGAAACAAATATATGCCTGGACTGTGTGAAAAGAATAATCTTGGACAGTGTGAAACTTAATTTTTTAAATTCATTTCATACAGATACATGATGATCGAATTTATATGTGATTCCCATTTCGATGGGAATGCTGAAAGTGAGGACTTATGGTACACCTGGTAAGCTGCTTTGGTACCTATAGGGGTACTGGTGGCACAGTTTGAGAAATGCTCTTGTGAAACAAAAATGCAGTGCCTTGGGGGTTCATGGTGTACTGTATAGTGAATGCTTTAATATTCTATTATTATTGCAACAACAGTGAAAACCCATCAGTAATGTTCTTGATTAATTGAAATGTCTATAAAAGTGGGTTGTAATTTCATGCTATGATTAAGAGGATGATTGTACCTTCAGTAAAATATGTATCTGATTAGATGTAGTGTGTTCATGATTTCAAGCAGAGTTCCTCATTAAAGTGACAGGGCAGACCCGGAATTCTGAACAAGTTTAATCTTGTGTGTGTGATATTGTACCATTGTTATAACAGGTCCACACAGTTTACATTTCATGAAAATTCTTAACAGTAGCACAGAACATTGTGATATAATTGGAGACGGTAAATCTGAATGCCCTGTGACTGCACAATATAGTAAAGTGAATTATTGTTTTAAAGGTTTAAAAGATTTAAATTAATATGTCTGCAATATTAGGAAACTGTAAATTTGAAGTGTTAACTACCATTAAGCTAATGTGCTGCCTATGCAGTGCTCCTTCCAGAATCCTAGTAATTTATGAACAAACTAACTGACTAACTTCATGGAGCTTAGCCCTTCTTGAAAAGCTCCCAGTTGTACTTCCCAACGTTTTATGAAACCCAAAACTTCATTGCTATGTTTACAAGAGCCCTCCACTGGTTTCTATCCTGAACCAGATCAATCCAGGCCATACCACTCCATCCTGCCCCTCTAATATTCATTTTAGTATTAGCCACCCACCTGTATGTCTTCCTAGTGGTCTCCTTCCTTCTGGTTTTCCCACCAGTATCTTGTATGCATTCCTCTTCACCTCCATTCATATTAAATGCCATGCCCATCACATCCACCTTAAATTAATTGGTCTAATTGTACTATAATGTAATTTAAGTAAGGGGTGGGCCCTGATTATACTTGGTGAAGAGTACAAGTTATGAAGCTCCTCATTATGTAGTTTTCTCCAGCCTCCCATCACTTCACCTCTCTTCGGTCCAAATATTCTCCTCAGCATCCTGTTCTCAAACACCCTCAGTCTGTGTTCCTTCCTTAATACCAGAGACCATGTTTCACACCTATACATAAGCATACATACATACATACATATTCTGATTTTTACGTTTTTAGACAGTATATGAGAAGATAAAAGGTTCTGGACTGAATGGTTGCAGGCATTACCTGAATTCATTCTTGTCTTAATTTCCTCCTGATTCAGATTTTGATTTGTTACTGTTGTTCCCAAATATCTGAACTGTGCTACATTTTCAAAACATGTGTTAGTTAACATTAGGTAATGAGTTTGCCCTGCATTATGGTTACAAGACAGCGATATATACATAGTTTTCTCTGTGTTTACTTATAGACCAACCTCCTTACTAGCATCAATTAAAGTTTCTGTATTTTTCTTCATGGTATCTATGTTACCTCCCAGTAGGTTCACATCATCAGTGTAGACCAGCAGCTGATGTGTCCTGTTTAATTTCAGTCACATCTGGCTTTCTAGGGCCTTCCTAATATCATATTCTAAAGCAAAACTGAAAAACGGTGTCAATAAAGCATCTTGTTTTAGTCCATTTTGGATAGGAAAATTATCAGACAAATGCCTACCTATGCAAACTTTACATACAGGTAAACTTTTGTCTGATAATTTTCTGTCCAAAATTTATGAAAGATACAGCTTATTGCAGTTTACTCCTAGTTTCACATAATCATACTTCATAAATCATCAATGAAATACATTCCAGTGGTGGTGGAAACTGGGTGCAGCTGTCAGTGATATTTTCATATTTTATTTCCATAACTGAATCACCTATTACTTCTGTGATATCCATATCACAAATACCTGTCTGATGTTTTGCAGTCACCATGTTGACATTGTAAGGCTGTTTGTAAACGAGGGATTGCCTCAGGTGGAATTAAATGTTAATCTCTGTTTAAGATCTGTTTGGGGAGCAGTGGGTTGGAACATTCTAAATAGAGGAAATTTAACACTGAAAATTATTTGCATGGGGTCATTAAAATAGAACTCTAAATTAGGAGAAACCTTAAGTCAAGGAATGTAAATTGAGGGTTCTACTATAATCATTTCTGTCCTGTGCCACCTGGTGACAGGGTAGCAGTACTGTGACACTACAATCATTTTGTATAATGACTTTAAATGAAATGGATAAGAACCCTGACAAAAAGATAAACAGAATTGCAGTGGTGTTAGATTAGAAATTTCTTATCTTTTCTGTATAAACATTGCCCTCATTAATTGGAAATTTCTTATTGCTGCAGTCTGTTAAATGGTATGGCAAAGGATTATGTAACATCTCTATGATGAAAGAACTTAAACCAATTTATTCTGCAGATGGAAGTAGCAGTGGGACCCCTGTGTAGGCAGACATCAGAACTGAGTCGTCAGTACCGAATGATGCGTTCATTACGTCCATTACTGTTCCTCAGTGTAGAAGAGATCTTGGAGAGTCCAGCTCTAGGAGATGTAATTCCATATAGCTTGGTATTGCTTTCCATGTTTTCTCGTGGTCCAAATGATCTTCTCTCACCTCATCAGGTAACATACTAATGATGTAATAAACTTTTGCAGTACATGTATGTTCCAGATGCATTCCTTCTACAGTGCGTACAATCAAGTGCGCGCCGCGGCTGCAATTTGCCGTGAGTCATACCACCGCAGAACGGATGCAACTCCTCCCTGCGACTGCAGTGCCGTTCCCCGATAGCGTGAGTGTAGTGGTGTCACTGAGTCTCCGTCCATCAGTTGCTCTACATGCACACATTTATAAGAATACAGTAAAAGATAACTTACCGTGGTTTATAACAGGTGCTGAAAGTGACCTCCTTCTGCTTGCAAACATGCCGCGCATCTCACAAATAAATTACGCGACACTCTCTGCAGTTTGTCGACGGTAATTGAATGAATTACGCGTGTAATTTCATTTTGAAGACTATCAATGCTGCGGGGATTATTTTTGTAGACTTTTTGCTTCAGGTTGCCCCAAAGATAATAATCAGAAATACTGAGATCTGGGGATCTGGGAGGCCACAGTCCTCTACTGACAATTCTGTCTTCAAACACTTCCTGTATTGCGACCATGGATGCATTAGCCGTATGTGCTGTAGCGTTGTCCTGCTGAAAATACCCGTATTGTCTTTCTTCGGCATTCAACTGATCGAAGAAGGGATTCAGTATGTCATTAATGTACCGATCAGAGTTCACGGCATCGTGGAAAAATATGGGGCCAATGATTCGCCGCGGGCTTACAGCACACCACACACCCACCTTTTCACTACGTAATGGCACTTGCTGTATAGCGTGAGGATTTTCATTGCTCCATATTCTTACGTTTTGTGCATTGA